ATCTTAATTTTTCAAAGATTAACTTGATTTTCTGAATTGTAAAATATTATTGAAAATTTAATCATTGTAATTTAGTAAGCTTAATTTGGCATAAGATTGTAAATATGGGGGAACTTAGTGAAGCTTGAACTCAATATTTTGTATTAATGGTCAACCTTACTAGATCACTAAGTATTATCCCAACATGTGGTGCCTATAAAAGTTTAATAGTTACATGAATTTATAACTTAACTAAATGGTGCTGATTTAAATGAAAAAAAATATAAACAGTTTGGGATATTGGTAGTTTCTTGATGTTATATGTTACTTGTAAGCCTGTTGCTGCTTGCCTAATGAAATTGAGGATCTTATAGAGAAGCATATTTGATTTACAGTGTGCAAAAAATTTTCCAAAGCTAATCATTTATTGATTTGTTGAATTTTTAAATGAATTGTTCTCATGTGTTTGACCGGATTCATTTTGTTTGTTGCTTGAATTTTTGGCTTAAGTCAGTTGAAAGCGAGGAAATTTTAAAATCCTGTTTGTTGCAATCTGCTCTTTATTTAGTGTTTGATACAAAAATATCTTTCCTTTTGTTTCTAGTATTTTCATTTATAAAGAAAATTTATTTATTACTAGAAAAGAAAAATCAACAAAACCATTTGAACATATATTTCTGTAAACTGAGACACATTTTTTTTTCCAAATACTTAATTGAAAAAGGAGTCACTCTTTCAGTGTATTTAGTTGTTTTTCATATAACACATTGTTATATTTTTTTCACTTGTTATTATACGGATGTAAGTATTTTCTACAGTACGATGTTTGCATAATTACTGTCTGAATTGTTCTGGAAAGAGTTTTTTTTTATTTTAACTACTATTGAAAATATAATGTAAAATCTACTTGAATGAATAATTTGTTGTTTGAAAATGATTGTCCTCAGACTTTTTTTTTCTTCTTTTTTTTTAAGAGAAAAAATAAATGTAGAAAAGTATTTCTAAAAATAAAGTTTAGAAAAGAGATATTAAGTTGGTGTCATAGAACTACTGTTAGAAATAAATGAAAGGGAGGTAGTTTTTGCAGTCAAAACATTCAGCCATATTGATTGTTTGAGACATTAGCAGATGGAATATTAATGAAAAACAAGAATAAAAAAATGTAGAAGCAATGCTAGTAGGAATGGATCTTGTAGTAGTTTCATTTTCATTTTAAAGGAAATTTGCTTCCTCTTAGTTTTCTATTATCATTTTTAGAGCCAAGGTCTCACTGAGCCACTTGTTATTCATGATAGACAATTGAAGCAGTAGCAGCAGCAGTTTGGCAAGTTGGTGGAAGACATTTGTAAAACAAAAATAAAAACTGCAACAGTGAAAATATTATGCAGTTCTGAAATTTATATATTGCCTAAAAATTAAGTCAGTTTGAAATTGTGTGTATTTATTTTTTAATGTATGTTTACTTTTGTATATTATGCAAGAGTATATGAATAAGTGCATTAACAAAATAAGTGAAATATGCATGAAAGAAATATGAGGTTATGACGCTTTAAAAGCTTAAATAGTATAATATTTTGATATTCTGTTTAACAGATTAAATATCAATAATGATAGCTACTGATTTTTTTTTTTATAACTTTTTCAATAATTTATTTCATAATAGTTTTTCTCAAGGAATTATTGTCTAATCAGTATAATTGAAAGTAGTTGAAAAACTATAGCATTTATGGATTGTCATATGAGGGAAGATTGTATGTACAAAAGGATAGATGAAATTACTGATAGGTAAATGTTAAAATGAAAAAAAATGTGAAGAAAATTAAGGAATAATTTTTGTGAAATGCATTACCTGACTGTACTTATTGACATATTGAACTGCCATTAATAATTATCACAACATTTAATATTGATAAACGCAAGAGTTTATATAGGGATAGTTTTGCATTATAAGAACTCTATACTAAATGAATGTTGATACGGTTTCATAAGGAGTAGATTTGTTCTAAGTAGGTCTGAAGTGTTTATATGCATTCATCTAAGAAAGGAACAATTTAGAATTTGAATTAGGAAATATTTATACATTTTCTTGAGTGTTGTTCTAGTAAGATCTAAATAAAACGTAACAAATCAAAAAATAATTGGTCACTTTCAGAACAATGAGCGGAAATAGGCAAAATAATGAGGATATAATTTATATTTTTACTTTTTTAGAGTTTTTGTCTTTATTAAATATTTTATAAGCCTAACTAAATTTTATAAATATGTAATTTAAATTATGCACTTAACCAAACCTGTAAAGATATCAGTGTTGAGAAATTGGAAATTATTTAACCTATTTTCCTCAATATTTGTAGGTGTCAGATACTTATGAAACTTTAAAAAAAATTTTTATAATTATCTTAATAATCTTATGTTAAGAAATCAAAGCAGTGTTTTTTATATTTTATGATCCCACTAGATTTTTTTTTTAATTTGCTTGGATGACTCAGTATTGTTAAATAATTAAAATCACTGACTTGTTGATTTCTCTTAACTGAAAAATCTCTTAGAATTTTCAGTTTTCCTGGTATTCATTGTCTATTTCCTTAGATCTGTTTGTCAAGTATCTGTATCTAATATGGACAGTATACATACCAACTGGGTATTTAGACAAATATTCTAATCTTTGTGGCTACTTTTCGATTATGTTCCCATAAACATCTTCAAACCTGGTGACTCTATGCATGTACACCTCCCCACACATACACACATTGAATAATTAAATGAAGTGATTGAAAACCTTTAGAATATTAATTCAACCAAAGATATTTGAGAATTTAGTGACTCATTGTATTGCATGAAGAGAAAAAGAAAAGTTTAATAAATAAGCTCCTGAATGGCAATAACATTTTAAACCAGAAAACCTGTAATAGGTTTTCTTTGGTACATAGCAAAGTTTAGCAAATAGGAAAAATATAAATGAGCTTTTAAAGCTGCTGATGTTGAAAGTCCATTTGGCAAAAATAAATCTCAATTTCATCTTAATATCCATTTCCCTGCAAATTCCTAGAATCCATCAATAACATTGGGGCTGGCTGTAGGGCTTAATTATTGGCTATCATGTAATATATGCCTACAACATTGTGATTCAATCTGCTTAGTGTCATCATGCTAAATGGATGAATTGGTTGCTTTTTGTTTTTTTTGTTTTGACTATTTTTAATGATTATACATGATATACCATTCATTTGTTTTTTTTACAGTATAATTATGGAGATGATTGGACTTCTTTTCTCCTTTACCAATTTCCTTTTGCCTCCTTGTAATCAGTTCCAAATGTGTGGATTGATGTTTTATTGTTTTAGTTTTCATATTCTGAGGTACATAAGAGAATTACTTTATTATATGCCACCTGATAATACCTGGTAAATTTAGTGACTGAAATAAATCATAGGCAAAAATACCAAGATTGAAGATGATAGTATAAATAATGCTGTATAAAGGTGGCTATTGTTATGTTTAAAGTTGTTCAAATCCTAACTTGTGGACTTTCTTATCTTTTTAACTTGCAATTATTTGCCATTCATTACTTCAAATAAAAAATTAAAATAAAATTTGTTATTGAATCAATATCTGTCTATATTTCTGAGGTATTATGTATACTATTTACATTATTTGGACTATTGTCCTCATCTTTGTTGCCATATTATCACAACCTTTTGGCCGTTGAACGCTCTGGTCTTCTTCAGGTGGTTGGAATGTCGAACTGAACCCTTTATTTCACACACTGGGGTAGACTGTCCTAGTTCCATGTGTCATGTCTAATGGATGTCAGTTATCAGTTATCTCCTGTTAATTCCCCTCTCTAAGTTCTCCACTGCCTTAACCAGGTATTGAATTCACACTCTTTGGGTCCTGTCACTGGATCTAACTAACGCCTTTATCCACATGGCACAGTGGATAAAGGTGTTAGTTAGATTCAGTGACAGGATCCAAAGAGTGTGAGTAAATAAAGGGTTCAGTTTGACATTCCAACCACATGAAGAAGGCTGGAGCATACAACAGCTGAAACATTGTGATAAATATGGCAACAAAGATGAGGACAATAGTCCAAATAATGTAAATAGTGTATTGAATCAATAATGTTAACATTAAGTTATTTAAAACTGGGTCCATAATAATGAATTGCTGCTGCTTAAGTTTTTTTGTCTGATTTCAACTTAAAAAGGGGTTGTTTAGTTTAAAATAGGATATTCACTATTTGTACTTTGGTGTTGGTTCCTTTTGAAAGTCTGTCTTTGGGGCTTTTTCAGAAATATTTTGCATATGCAGGTGATTACTCCAGATCAGCAATTTTGATGAAGAATACTTAATATTTGATCAATGATTGATGTCTGCTTGAATTCTCTGAAGTCTAAAAGATGGATAAGATTTAATTTACTTTGCATCAAACTGAAGTTGATTTATAACCAGATTGAAAAACAACTTTTTCTCCATTAATTGGTTGTGTAGTTTCCAATGCTGTTATCAATTTTATCATGTCTTCTTCTATTCACTTGCACATTTGGTTAGTCACTTAAAACTATTTGCAAAGATATTTTACTTATATATTTTCTTTGTTTAGCTTTACTTTCTAAACTCTTACTTGTGACCAGAGGATTAAAACTGATTTAAGTAAATTGTAGTAAATATCATTAAATATGATACATTTTTTTAAGTAATATGTCACTACATTTCATGTAAAGGATATATATATATATATATATACACACACACACACACACACACACACACACACATAATTATTGTAAAATTATTATAGTTTGATGTTCTCATGGATTGAATGTGCAACTAAGTTAAGATTTTTTTTGTGCAGCCTCATTCTTTGTACTTATTTTATATATTTATTGTACATTCAAAATCACAGCATTATAAATATTTGTTTTTACTGTGTAAGTGTCAATATTGCAATCAATGGATGCTATCTTTTGCTGAACTTTTATCATATATCTTACAAATGTCCTTTTATTTGTGTTTTCCAGGAAACAAGACCTTCGTGAATTGAAACGACTGCAGAAGTCTGAAAACAAGCAATACCAAGCACTTGTGGTTAAAGCTAATGTTGCCCGTGATTTGCAAGAAAAGAAATTTGAGATTGAAATGCAGGTAATATTTTCATCTGACTTGCTATTTGTTTTTCTTTTTTGTCTTTCACTTAATTTTCATTTCTAAAAAAACAATTGTACAGAAAGAATTTATTTTTCTTTTGCCTATAAACTTTGTCATTTATTTACTGGCACTTTATCTAAGTATAAGCCTTGATATGACTGCCATTTAATATTCCATATTATTGTTTTCTGTTAATCACCATATTTATTTGCTCTTTGAACAATTATTTCAGATTTAAGAAATATATTTCTCTCATTGTAGACCTATACTATGAACATGAAAGCTGAATATGAATAGGTATCCCAAACTAAAATTTAATTTTTAATATGGCTTTAATAACTTTAATACAGGCATAAAGAACTTGGCAAAACATTAAAAAAATTATACTAAATTTATCTTGGTTGCTCAATTAGCAATGAAATTAGAACCATTCAAAGTTTGTCAGTTTTCTGACACTTGTGCTAGAAGCTAATTTCTTCAGTCTATAACTGAAGATGCAGGCTTCAGACTAATTAAAAATCATTATAAATATAATGTCATATAGGTAGTTCTGAAGTAAAAGGATTTTCCTCTTTTAATGGTGACTTGCAGTCTGAATTTGTTTATAAGCCTCTGCTATAGCCAGTAATCCTGGAACACTCCATATCCTATCAACTCTTGAAAGTGGTATTATATCAAAGTCCCATTTAAAGACAAATGTTGATGTTATTTGTGTAATATTATCCAAAGAAGACCATCAGAAATAATAATTTTTGCCTTTGGTTGGAACTAAAATTTTGATTACAGCACTGGATGGTGAGGTAATATTAATGATTTGGTCAATATAAAAGTTGGAGTAATAATATACTGTAACCCATTTGAAGTGATTCTATTTCATCATAAATGCTTCTTGATGAGTTGTTTCCTCTTTCCTTTGTTCCTTTAAAGGTGGAGATGAAGTTCCATTAAAAATTATGTCATTGAAATCTTTATTCCCTTCATCACAGGTTTTTAACTTTATCAGCATACATTGCAAAGAATTTGGGGTTTTCTTCGGCCTGCTTCTTCCACTTAGAAAAAAATACTTAAATACTTATCAGGGCATTGAGTTCATCATCCACTGAACAGTAGATGAAATGTAAATTTTATTAATCACCTGAGAAGGAGTTGCTAGCATGGAAAGCACTAAATAAATAAATAAATATATATATATATATATATATATATATATATATAAATATAAAATAGAATAAAAGGAACAGATACCTGCTTAAAAAAAAGATGTTATGCTTATAATGGCTTAAGGAAAAAAAATTATGAAAATGAAATGTTTGCAAAAGTTGAAGAATTATTAAATGTATCCATATTTTTTTTTTTTTTTAAAGAAAATGTAACAATTTAATTTTAACCTCCCAAATAGGAACTTATCCCATTAAACAGGTAATAATTATAAAAAAACAAAAAAATAAAATAATAGGAAAATGATTACATTTTGAAAATTACCTAATTACATTTCAAATTTTTATGGACCTATGTGCCAAAATTAAGTTCAACCATATAATATCCAGTTAAATTTTTATAAAATGTATTCACTTTTATATTTAATTTAATCTCCAAATCTTGAGAATTAGGGAAAATATTGCTAACTATGAATGCAAATGAAAGAAATGACCATTTAAAAGGAAAAGTGAACACAGTTTTAAAAATTTTATTTTTATTTTTATGAATGTGAATTTGAAATTTAAAGAACTAAGAATATATCCAATTTATATACTTATTTTTTTATTTTGTAATAAGAATTTTATTTAATGTTTTTTAAGAAAATGTATAAAAGCAACAGCCAAGGTATAAGTGATTTAAGCATGACAGTTTGGATCAAATGTATAAGTAATTTATAGTTTTAAAATGCATCATTAAAGAAAATATAAGGAAAAGATTAAAACTGTAATATCCATTGATGAAGCAAGTCTGATTTAAAATGGTGTTCAGCTGGCAATGTTCATTCAGTTGATTAGTAATACAAATTTTGATGTGTCAGAATCAAAAAAGGGTGTACTGCATTCATTTTTGCACAAAATGAATGCAGTACAGCCTGTTTTTGATTCACATACACCTTGAGTTGTATGGCTATAGATATATGAAATGAACTGATTGTTAAAGACAAGATATTGCTCTACAGGAAAATGCAATTTTTCATTTTTTAAGTGTTGAATTTATATGATATTTAGTCCACTAAAGTTTTCAATTTAGAAGTTTTGGGGAAAGACGACTTCAAACCCAAACTTAAGCCCACCAAATTGACGAGCTGCCTTTTTTCTTTAAGATGGGACTATATTGATATGTGTAGGGAGACAGCTCAAATTGCAACAAGTTTTAAAAATATGACTATGAACTTGTCAACTTCAAAGATGCAGAAAAAGCTCCTGCCATCATTTGAAATAGTGACATAATTTAAAGAGATGTATAATAACTAATCATCACACATGAAACAGAATTATATCTTTAGAAAGAGAAAGATTCATTTGAAATTTTACTATTTTGATATGTTTTTGCAATGTAAACTGGGACAGTTTGGGTTATTTAATATTAAGAATTTAAAGCAAATAATTTTTTTGTACATATTAAAATTGGAGTAGAAAAAAATTGACAGGTCTTAGAAATTTAACTTGTTTATTAGTGTTTTGTTTGTATTCCTCTATTTTCTTTGGTTTAGCATTTGCCAGAATAAAGTTAGGTTTAAAATGAAATTCTGAAATAATTTTAGAAATATTTTAGTTCTCTGTATTTTGTGCAGTTTTTAGCAGTTTTAGACCATGTTCTTAATAAGAACTTGTAAAAGTCTATTTACGTTGAATATCAACAAAAGTCAATAATACCCCATAATATTCTAGTAGAGAACTGTTTATTCATCTTTGTTCAGGATGGAAACTATTTTCATTTGAGGTGTACATAAAATAATAGCAGTGTTGCTATAACTGCTGTTAAGCAATACCATGGCAATCGTTTTCTCATATCCCTTATAAAAACATGTACAACCAGAGTTTTCCTTGTGTTATAAATGAAAATTTTATTGAGCCATTATAAAATCAATCTAGAAGCTTTGTGTAGAGCTTATAGAATTTGCAGGCAGCAAATATCTCAGTAGACCAAGCAATAATTATTGATTATTCTTTCTTTCTTTTTTTGTTTCCCCACTTCTCTTTTCTTTGTCCTACTGTCCTTCTCATATGGAGATTCCAAATATTTATGCCCATTTCTGTCAAATAAAAAAAAAAAGTGGCAACTATGTTCTTGTTGCACCTGGTTTCATATTGAGTGACCACAGGAAATGAAGACATGTTTAATCTTTGCTAGAATCTAATTTCATACTGTTTTTTGCTTTAGTTCTGTACAATACACATCAATTGTTTTAGGTGATGTGCATAAATGCATGCATAGAGAGCAGCTAATTTCTGACAGCATTAACATACATTTTAACATTTTCTCCATATCTCATGTTCCATCAGGCTGATTAAGTTCTCCACAACTTCCTGTCTTTTGTTATTCTCAGCAACACTTGTTCCTTTATCACCCACTTCATCTTGTACTAATTCATCCAGTGTTAACTTTATTTCTGATAAAAATTTATACACTTTTGGAACACTGTAGAATAAAAATATGAAATTAATAAGTTAGATTTAAAACTCCAGTTTATGTCTATATTTCTGAGATGAGGTATTATGTACATTATTTACATTATTTGGACTATTGTCCTCATCTTTGTCGCCATATTTATTACAACATTTTGGCCATTGTACACTCCGGCCTTCTTCAGGTGGTTGGAATGTCAAACTGAACCCTTTATTTTGCTCACTCGAGTAGACTGTTCTAATTCCACATGCCATGTTTAATGGATATCAGTTATCGCCTGTTAATTTCCCTCTGAAAGTTCTCCACTGCCTTAACAGGGTATTGAACTCATGCTCTTTTGGGTCCTGTCACTGGATCTAACTTTATCCACTGTGCCATGTGTTCTTGAGGACATCTGTGTATGAATTTCTGCGTATTATAAACCTAATGTCTTCAGCAACTATTTTCTTACCAGTGCTCATATTGCAATTTTTGCTGTTATCATTGCATGTTTTTTACCAGAGCTCATATTGCAATTTTTGTTGTTATCGCTTTTCTTTGGCACTCCTTATTACTGGTTCCCATATTGTATTCATTTCTATGCTTGGTCAGCTCAGGAGATTTTTGTGGCCTAGCATGTCAGTATAAGTAGTACCCTATAATGTAACAACTACCTTGGATACATGACAGTAGCCCCCAAAAACTGGGATAGGTGAGTACAAGAGGAGGATAACAACACTCAGAAAACAGTTTGCCTGCCTTATGTGAGGGGGTTATCAGAGAAAATACAAAGGATCTGCAGTTCATATAACATCAGGACAGCCTTCAAAAGCTTGACGACATTTCGCAGATATCTCTCCCGAGTAAGACCCCCCCATAGAGGAGAACATGACTAAAGACTGTGTGTACGCTATCCTGTGCAGCTGTGGAAAGAAATATAAAGGGGAGAGAGGCTGCCCCCTTAGGGTAAGACTTCAAGACACCAGAAAGCTGTAACACAAGGGGAAATGGAAAAATCAGGCGTGGCTGACCACATATGGAGAGAGAAGGGAGATCACTGCCCTCTATGGGATCAGGTTGAGATCATAGACAAAGAACATCATTGGAGAATTTATAAACTTAAGGAATCAGCACATATGCTAGGCCACAAAAATCTCCTGAGCTGACCAAGCATAGAAATGAATACAATATGGGAACCAGTAATAAGGAGTGCCAGAGAAAAGCGATAACAACAACAAAAATTGCAATATAAATTTATGTTTAATTAGAATTTATTCATTAACATAAGTTCTATCATTATCAA